AGCCACCCAGATTTTGGTGCTGTGTTGAGGTAGCCCTATGAAACTCACACCAAAACCATTTTCCACTTCGGAATTTAGTAAAATATTTTTAAAATGAAAATTCTTTTATGTTGGCACGATTTAGGCCAGGAGTGTCCTAGCAGTTTGGTGACATATATCAAAGGCTTCCAAAGAACTTGGTAATTCCATTTTTAAGGCTTTATTCTAAGGAAATAGTTTATGCAGAAATCAAGAGTTTTGGAAAAGATGCTTATAATAACATTTTTTATAACGTAGAAACAACTGTCTAAAAGTGGGAGAAATGTTAAATAAATGTTAGACAATAAAGTATGAGGCATTAAAATAATTAAAATAATATATGACACAAGGAATCCTCTTTCCCTAAATAGAAAAACAGAATATTAAGTTGTTCATATAAGGTACAATCCAAATTTATTTTTAAAAGATCTACAATGTATATTTATATAACTGGAAAAAAACACACCAAAATATTAATGGTGGTGATATCTGAGTGGTAAAATTGTGGATTATCTTAACTTTATTACTTACTTCTTATGTATTATTAATCATGTCTATTTGTTATAATAGTCATATATTCAATTTTATCATCAGGAAAAAAATTTTAAAATTCCATATGGCTTAGTGGGCACTAACCTTTGTTTGAAACTATCATAGAAGAAACAGTCTTTGAAAATCTAAAATGTCATAATAATGCCCAACAAAGACTGACAAACTCACAGCATATATGAAGTAATAAAACAATTTAAATTTGGTAGCACAGTTCTAATTAAGGGACATAGCGTTTCTACGTGACCTCCAGAGAGCAAACACACAGCCTCTCCCTAAAGCCTTGTGGGGCTTGGCCTCGCCTAGAGAGCATCACAGCCCAGGTTCAGTAAATTGTGACATTTTCTTCTGCTGTGACTCCCTGCACCTCCCCCTTCATTGTTGCGTCTCTCCTTTCTCGGTTTCTCTGCACGATCTGTGAGTGCCTGCTTGAGTCAGAAGGGACAATTACACATGGAGAACACCTGGGTCCAGGAAGGTTGAGTGACTGGCTCCAGGTCACCCAGCAGGTTGGGGACAGTCAGGAGAGAAGCTGGGATTTGCCAGCCTCTCTCAGGTCACTCTGTGAGGCTCATGAGGGAGACACATGGAATAAAGAGCCACCCCTCCCTGGAGAAGCAGCCCCCACCCCATCGTCCAGGGTCAGAGATGTACTTAGCCAAGCCCTCTGACATCACCTTCCAGCCCCCTATGAAATCTGCGTGGAAAAACCCCTCAGAGAAAAGTGTGTGTTTACATCAGAGGCAGGGCTAGGTTTTAATGATCCACTTTCTGCGCCCTCTCCACAGGCAGCCAGAAACTTTGCCAGTGCGGGTGGGGCCCATCTAGAAGGGGGTGGGCTGCCGCCTGGGCACGGCAGAGTTGCCTGTGACCCACCTGGGGCCCTGAGGTCAACTAACACTGCTGGAGCCTCCAAATCCCAGTAACTGCTTCTGCCCTTGTGGCAAGGACTCTGTCCCCAGGCTGCAGGCCACGCCTGGAGAAGTTCTGGTTCTTGCCCAGGCCCTCCAGCTGCAGTTACGGTGCTGGTCCAGCGTGCCCCTGCTGCTCCCCAGGACCATCCTGCCTGCCCTGCCAGGGGCCTGGCTTTGGCTGGGGCTGGGTGAGGCCGTCAGGTGTCCAGGCCCCCAAGCTACTGGGACAGCTCCTGTTATCAGTGAAGTCTGAGGCCCTTGGGGGCTTGCCCCCAGGGTGTCACCAAAGTGGGCGCAGAGCCCTGAGCTGAGCCACATGTGTGCATGGGTGCGCACGCACACTCTTCTGTCCACCCCTGTGAGCGTGCGTGTGCAGGTGCACGCCTGAGACACGCCTGTAATCTGGGGAGGAGGAGAGCACTTTGTGTCTATCTGTACTGCTTGATTCTGCACGAGAATGTGTTTATGTGTTACAGGCGTAATTAAAATAGAAGTAAAAGGCTGTTTCTCAAAGCCTGGGCCTCTGGTTGGCCCTCCCACAGGTAGTGGCCTTTCCGCAGGCTGTACTGTGAGTGGCAGCCCAAGCCTTGGTGGGGAGAACCTGCTTCCCAAGTGCCAGGACATGGCACAGGGCAGGGCCAGGGAGGGTGGCAGCCCCCTCCACAGAACATGTTGGTTTAGGGGAGGCTTACGCTGGGGAGAAGGATGTTGTGGGATGGGAAAGCCGATGTGTCCTCCTGCTGCCGCAAGGCTCCTGGAGAGCCTGGAATCAACTCTACAGATGCGGTGCTAGGCTCAGAGCTGCAGGGCACGGAGCCACAACCCGCTGGCAGCCAGCAAGGCCCCTGTGCTGGGCCGACCTCTGTGCCAGAGGCCACCTCTGGTTTCCAAGGATGGGGAAAGGGGCTACTGGGAATCTTGTGGCACTTTTGGTTCTTGCTGGGCTCTTGGACCTGGATTTTTTAAAAATTTATTTTTACTATAGTAAAATACACATAACATAAAGTGTACCATTTTAATCATTTTCAAGTGCACAGTTCAGGGACATGAAGTACAGCCACACTGTTGTGCGGCCCTTGCCACCATCCATCTCCAGAACTTTTTCACTTCCCAGAGTGAAGCTCTGTCCCCATTAAACACTCACTCCCCACCCCCTCCCCAGGCCCTGGCACCTGCCCTTCCACAGTCTGCGTCTATGGATTGGACAACTCCTGGTGCCTCTGTAAGTGGAATACTATAGCATTTGTCCTTTTGTGACGGGCTCATTTCACTTAGCATGATGTCCTCAAGGTCCATCCACATTGTAGTGTGTCAGAATCTCCTGCCTTTTCTGAAGCTGAATGATCTTCCATCGTGAGGGTGTTTTGTGTCTCCACTCTCCCGTCCACGAGTGCAGGGCTATCCCCAGCTTCTGGCTCCTGTAGCTCACCGTGACATTTCACAGTCCCACCTGCAGCGCACGAGGGTTCTGACCTCTCTACATCCTCGCTGACACTTGTTTTTTTCTGTTTTGTTTTGATAACAGCCGTCCTAGTCCTTGCGTTTTAAAGATGGCGATGAGGCTGTTGGTGGGGCTCCAGGAACAGAGGAGATGTCACCTGCTCTCCCAGAACCAGGCCCGGCCCCATCTGTCCCCGCTTCCCTGTCAGCTCAGGGGGCTTCTGACCCTAAGCCCCACTCCTCCACCCCCAGCTGCTCCTCTGCGGAGTGGGGAGAATGTGTCCCGGGGAGTTCAGGGACCAGGGCACTGCCCCACTGTCCCACCCCATCCCAGGTGTGAGCGTGGAAGTCTACCATTTAGCTACACACCCTGCAACCATCTGTGTGTGTGTCAGTAAGTCAACAAATAAACGAATGGGACAAACAAGCTTGAGGCCCCACCCTCTGGTGGCCCCAGGAAGCCAGCCAGTCTGTAACCCCACCAGGGGTCTGAGCTCTTCAGATGCGAGGGGCCAGGACATTCCGAGGCTGTTGCCCCAGCCTGTCTTGTTACCCTCAGCTGAGAGGAGAACTAAAGAAGGCAGCCAGAAGAGCCGGCTGGGTTTAGGGCAGGATAAGCGCTGAGGGGGGCCCTGAGACCTGCAGCCTCCACCCGGGGAAGGCATCCTTGGGGACGCCTGGCAGGTAGAGGCAGGGTCCCCTTTCTCCAAGGTGAAGTTTGATTTGAATGAGCTGGTTCCCACTTCAAAGTGTGGGACTGTGGCCTCGGGTAAACACAATTGTCCTGTTCAGGCTCCTTCTTGCCCCAAGCTGACAGTTTGACCCTCTGATGTGCCTTTTCTCCCACGTTTTCCAGGAGACTTGCTTTGTGATGACGTGGCTGGCAGATCCGGGATCGAGACTGGATGCCCGGGGAGGGCACAGCCCCCCGATCCTTCATCCTGGAGGAATCCCATGAGCAGGGCCAGCTTCCAAGGGACTTTTGTTCCTGGGACCCACGTGTCTCCTCGCTCGTCTTCCTCCCCTTCTCTTACCTGGTTTTGGGGCAGAGTGTGGGAGAGTGTCCAGACCCAAAATGAAGCAACCCTCAGTGATTGCGGTCATGGTCAGGCCTGGGGGCTGCTGCAGAGCCGTCCCTGGCTGCTCAGACCCAGTCTGGGACACTGTGGGAGTCATGGGGGAGCGGCTGGACGGACTGAGTGGACAGTGCCGGGGGAGGGGGACATGTGTGTGGCAGCCCCCATCCCAAGACACCAGCCTCCAGGGACACTCGATTGCCCAATTCCTAATGCCCTGGGATTCTCTGTGAGTGGGGGAGCCCAGAGGAGGGGATCCCTGGAGCTGAGCAGATGGGGAGCAGGCATGGTCAGGGTGGGTGGGGGCTGGGAGGGGACACCTCAGCTTGCTCACTCCTCTGTGTGTCCCCCAGCTGTGTGACAGCCATGCTCCCAGCTTGCCTGTGAAGTCCTGCTCATCTGCACATCACCCTGAATGACTGCTCCTACTGCTCCCACCTGACATGCTGTCTTCCGTTTCTGGGAAGCTTCTTCCTCACCCCCACGGCCTCTGCAAGTTAGACATCCCTGTGCTACCAGTGTTTCTGCAAATTCTGTCACTGCACGTGCCTGTTATTCTCAGATTGCCCATCCAGCAGTCTTTCCCAAGCCTCTCCCGATCGGTGCACCTCACCCTACTCAATGCTTATGTCAGGCTGAAGAGTGTCTCCCCAAGATCCACATCCACCTACAACCTCAGAATGGTACCTTATTTGGAAATAGGATCTTTGAAGATGTAATTAGTTAAATTCAGATGAGGTCAGACTGGATTAGGGTGGAGAAGGCCATTTGGAGACAGACACAGCCCGGAGTGATGTGTCCATAGGCCAAGGGGCACAAGGGATCTCTGACAGCACTAGACACCGACAGAGAGAGGCACGGGACTTCTCCCCAGAGCCCTCTGCAGGACCGCAGCCCTGCCGACATGAGTTTGGACCTCTGGCCTCCAGAATGATGAGGAGTAAATTTCTATTGTTCAAGCCCCCCAGTTTGTTTTGGCAGCCCTATGAAACCAATACAAGAATGAATCAAATATTGATTTAATCTGAGTTTTGTTTTGTTTTTAACTGCATAGCAGGTGGTTTCTCCTATTTCTCCCTAAACCAATCAAGCTTTGTTTAAAAAAAAAAAAACTCAACACCCCCTCCCCCACAGGCCAATGAGCATTCCGTCTGCACAGGACATGGGGAGTAGATGGAGGCCAGCATGGGTCACGGGCCTTCCTGCACTGGGGCCTTCTTGGAAGCCACCTCATGTGCACCTCGCACCAACTGGAGGGTGCTGGTGCTGGGCTGTCGCTAAAGAAACAGAGACCAGGTTGGTGATGTGACCGCCCAGCGGTGGCCAGCAGGGACAGCCAAGCTGGGCTGTGAGTCTAAAGCCCACTGTCCCTCCACTCCCCAGGCTGCAGCTGGCCGCCCCAGGGCCTGAGCTGGCTCCAGACCATTGCAGTGGCTATGAGGGAAGAAGGAATCTTTCAACTTAAACACCAGAATCAGCCCGGGAAGCTGCAGTGTTGGCCAGGCATGGACTGAGGAGGATTTTCCCTGAGAGAACCCCCGGGCTCCCTCTGTCCGGGTGTAATGATGAAGTGGGCTGGGAACACCCAGGCTTCCAGGTGCTTCCTCTTTTTCTAAGAGCTTGAACTTCTTTTGGATTCTGTGTTATAGATCATATGACATCACATCATTCTCTGACATCTTGGTTTGCTGTCCGGATATCACCGACGGGACACCAAGGGTGGCCGTCCACCAGCCACACACTTGCACACAGATTCTGAGAGAAGAAAGCCCAACTGGTCTGGGACCCGAGGCGCCTGGGGTCCCAGTCCTGCTGGCCCAGGTCCTGAAACTGCTCGCTGACTTTGGATCTGTGGTTTATTTGTGAGAAGACAGTTTGGAAACTTCCTTTCAGGCCTTGGGGTGACCCAGAGATTCCTGGCCCTAAGGAAGGGACACACAGACCTTCTTCCTGGCCCAGTGGGCCTGGGAGGCTCTGCCCAGTTTCTAACCTTCACCCGCCCTGAGTCGCTGCATAACCAGCAGTGTGGCACCAGGAGAGCATGCTGTTTTCCCACCCAACTTGCTCTTTCTGGCCTAACAGGGACCACAGTGGAAATGCCAGCATGACAATGGGGTGCTACTGCTACTGGACTTTGTCCCACTCCGTTCCATGCTCTCATCTTTGCATGGCTCATTGGTCGTCACTGTGAGGTGGCATTGCAGAGTGCTCGGTCTGGGGACTAGTTTACAGCCATTTGTATCAGCTGATGCCAGTGACGTCTTTGTCTCCTCATGTCATAAGTGAAAATGTTCTCTTTCTAAGCAAACAACAACAACAATACCCCAAACCACGGAAACCAGGTCAGACAGAATGAAAACCCCTTGCAGGCTGTGCTGACAAAGCCGGATGCGGCCCGCTGAGAAGCCGAGGCCTTCTCCACAGTCAGAGGCCTCCACGTTGCCTTGGCAACCCCAACCCGCGCTCCCCCACCACTGCGGCCCCCACGTCCTGCAGACAGCCAGAGCCCACCAGTCCTGGGAGGTGTCTGAGGGCCTCCGTTTATGAGATTCCTACCTGCAGCTCTGCTCTGGGCCCCCAGGGCCACCCTCCTCCTTGAGGCTGTGCCCTCCTGAGGGGGCTGGGCCAGACATCCAGTCTCGATCCCGGATCTGCCAGCCACGTCATCACAAAACAAGTCTCCTGGAAAATGTGGGAGAAAAGGCGCATCAGAGGGTCAAACTGTCAGCTTGGGGCAAGGAGGGGCCTGAACAGGACAATTGTGTTCACCCGAGGCCACAGTCCCAGGCTGTGTCATACCCACTCAAAGAGGCCCCTAATCCCCGCGATGAAAAGACAGAGGAGCTGCCTCAACACCGCCATGGGGCTGTTCCACAGGGACGGCACATCCGCCTGCACGGCAGAATTCTAGGCAGACAATAAAAGTCATGATTCTGATGACTGTTCTGGATGCAGCCAGACACTTCCTACACTGGGCTGGTGAGAATCGAAGGCTATAAATCGCACACTGAAGGGTCCAATATGATTTTTATAAAAAGGCTAGGTGGGAAGACATCAAACTGTCAACAGCATTACTGGTGATTTTTGTTTTCATCTTTACATATTTCTATATTTTCTAAATTTTCTCCTGAACATTTTCTGTTAATTTTTATACTTAGAAAAACACCATGCTTTATAAGAAAAAAAAACAGTCTACTGAGGGAGCATTTCATCTTGTTCCAACCTGAAGTAACTGAAACCGGAATCCATTCAGAAGCCCAGGAGAGAGCTGGTGTCCCAGCCTCTTGGTCACTGTCCCTCCTCTGCCCACTGTGGGAAACTGTCCCTGGACAGGCAAATGCTCCCCTCTCCCCACACTCCTCTGGGCCTGGCTGCTCAGGGCTGTGAGATGTCACAGGGGAAATGCCCCAAGTTCCCAAGCATGGCCTACCAGCCGTGGCCCCCACGTCTCCGCTGCCCACCCCCCTCCCTGTCCTCTCCCTTCTTCCCCAGCTTGGGGGCCAGGCCCAGCTCTAGCTCCACTGCTGGGCAAACACCCCCAGCTCCCTGCCCTTCTTCCCGTCATCCTCGGGGGCAACACCCTGTCCTTGGGGAAGCCCAGGAACCCTACAGCTGCCCATCAAGCGCCTCTGGAGAAAAGTCACAATCGTTGGGCAAAGCTGCATATTTCCACCATGTTCACCTTTCCAGTCTCGGAGCTTGTCCTGACCTCCTCTCCCTCCTCTTCTTCCCCCTCAGCAGAGAACCTCTGCCCAGAGCTCCCAGAGGGCGGATGCAAAGGCTGCCTCTGCCCTGTGACGCACCTTGTCTGCTCCTCTGCCTCGGAAGCAGCTCCCGTCGAAGGCCACCTTCCCACCACCTGACTTACCTTCTTCCTGTCGTCACTTCCCTCTGGAGGCATCTTACCCGTCGTACTGTATCTTCATGGTCTATCTCCTTAGCCAGAATGATCATCGATCCTCGGGAGAAGGCGTGTCTTATTGTGTCCCCCCTGCTGTGTCCACCTTGACCCGAGCAGCATGTCTGTCTGTCTCCATGTCATGCAGACTCTGGGTCATGCTTACCACATTCACTTGCACAGTTCTTGCAAACAGTAGAAATACATATTTTTTTGAATGAGTGAATAGTAACAAAAAAAGAGATAGCATACCGTGCTCAATGCCAGTGGATCACCTGGAGACAATGACATGAGAGCCACTTAGAAGTTCAATGCCTCCAAGAGGAGTCTGAGGCTTTGTGCTGCCCTTGCAGAAAGCCCAGAATAGAGTGCATGGCTGACGCTCCACAGCCCTGCACCGGGGCTCCGGTGCTGGCCTCTGCCTGGGGCCAGAGCATCCCGGAGGCCGTTGCTCTGACACGTACAAGGAGTCAGAACTCTGCTCCCCAATTACTTGGTACCTCCAACAAAATGGTGGGAAGCCGTGGCATTTGCAATGTGGTTTCTGTCCACCTGAGGGGAGATGGATGGGGTTTACTCCAGAGACACCAGTAAGACAGGTGACCCCCGACCAGGTGTTTCATACTGCTGTTCTTAAGCGAGCCCCCAGTAAGTACTGACGCTGCTGTTCTGGGCCCTTGCTGACTCACGGATGTTGGCCCCACCTTGCGCCCCCCCACCTTGCCTCAACCCAGCAGCCACATCGGAACTTCTCACTAGTAACAGAGACAGAACGGGAACTAGAAACCCTAGAGATCCGGAGATGGAAGGGCCCATGGGTCCACAAATGGCACATGAATGGCACTGGTGTGTGTGTAAAAGCCCAATTTGTCTCAGTTCTGTTCTGCCCACCCTAGGCTGCCTCTCCAGAGCCCCCATCTACCACCCGCCATCTCAATATCCCCAACCCCAGGATTCCTTGTTGCCTTGGGTCCCTCCACCTCTGCTCCCTGTTGGGTGAGGGTCCTGGCTTGCTTTGCTGGTTTGAGGAGGGTGGGCACCTGCTGAAGCATCCATGAGGCAAACGCTTCCTGGGAGTGGTGGCGTAGGCAGTTGTATTAGTCTGTTTCTGTTGCTTATCACAAGATACCTGGAACTGGGCAATGTGTAAGAAAACAAAATTTATTGCTCACAGTTTCAGAAGCTGGGACACCCAAAGTCCAGGGAACACTTATAGTGAGGGCCTTCTTTGCTGGTGACTTTGGCGACGCAGAGTCTTGCACGGTGAAAGTGGCAGAGCAGAGAGAGACCAACCTCCTCATCCACTCTCTTTTTAAAGCCACCAGAACCACTCCCGTTATTCCAGGAATGGATCAATCCACACTTAGGCACAGTCTTCACAATCCAATTACGAGGCCCTACCTTTCAACTACCACAATAGATTTCTCACCCTCTTAACACCGTCACAGTGGGGACCAAGCCTCCAAAACATTAAACTTTGGGGGGATACAATTCAATCCATAATATTAGCAGTGATGCCCTCGAAGGGCGGAACAACGGTGGTCTCTGGATCAGCCTGCTTTCTGTGAGCTCCTGACTTAACCTGTGAGCGCTGGGGCCATCCACAGGGGCTGAGGATGCTTTCCTCCCAGCTGCCCTTCCCAGGCCAGGGCAGTAACTCCCAGCCTCAGTGCACACACGTCTGTTTGTCGAGAGTGCCAAATACAAGGGGCAAGACCATCCAAGGCCTGCGCCCGAGGCCCTGAGTAGGACGCTGCTGCTATGGTTGATCTTATTTTCTGACCTGAAATCATGAAGCTAAAGCCTTAAAAACAACAACAACAAATGAAACAAAGCCAGGAGGACAGAGAAGGGTCTTACGCATCTAGGAGGGGGTGTCATGAAAGAAAAGCACTTGTCATATGCCCAGTGTCACAGAAGCCATCTTGGAAAGGTGCTACCACCCAGTCCCCTTTAGCCACAGAGGGGGCACTGGGGACTGGGAGGGCACACACATCCATTAGTATAAATGCTGCTTTCAAGCTCCACTCTCTGCATTTATTGATTTATTTGGAGAATTTTATGACATGCCCATGGCCAGTGCCTCGCAGAGCTAGAACTATAAATATTAAAGAGACCCACCTCCTCTTGATGGGGTTTCCAGTCTCAAGATCTAAAAACAATAAGATGAACTCCACAAACACTGTAATTATAAGACAGGCTTACAAAAGTCCAGTTGGGAAAGAAAATTGACTGTTTCCCCCAAACCTGCAATGATATACAAAAAAAAAAAAAAAAGTATCATTCTTGCAGACTTTGAGACTGAGAGCATTTCTCCCACTGTGTTAGGTGAAGAATCCCCCAAATCATTTGCTGACATCCACAGAAGCACATGCTATGTGTCTTTTCCCCTCATAGTGTGTGCAAAGCATGCAAGACTAGAAAGTGGGAAAGAAACTAAGGATTCTGCAAGGAAATTCAGCCTCCAGGGGCCAAAGACATAAACAGCGACCCCAGGCACGGGGAAACAGAGGCTGGTAGAAGACAAATGCTCAGACTTACTCACGAGGGTGCCAGGAGGAACCCGACTGGGGAGGGGCTGGCGAGAGACAACAGCCCTTCTGAGGTCGGCCCTTGCCTCTGCTCTTCCTGCCTTTCCCTACAGAGCTAGTGCCTCATCCATGAGGCTGGGGAAGGGAAGACCATATGGCCATTGTTGGCACAGGGCTGTTCAGGGGCTTGGAAGCTCAGGAGGGATTGGGGGTGGGGGCCAAGTACACGTGGGTCCAGGGAAGGTCTTTGGGAAGGCAGAGACCTTCAACTCTTTCGGCTGTAGTTTTTATTTGGTACTGAGGAAATTTTCCAAATAGCCAGCCAGCTGTTTGCAAACACCTAAGAGCTTCTGAAAGACTCTGGCTAGGCCTGGGGCTGGGTAGGTGGATGGGAAGGGGTGGAGAAGCCGGCCTTTCTGAGTGTTGTATTTGATTCCAGGGGAAAGATTTTAAGTCACAGAATCAGGGACCAAATGATGAGTGTGATCAGACTCCTGGTTTCTTCCGTTTTCATGGAGCTCTCCTAGGATCAGATCAGCAGGGTGCTGGGACTCCCAGAAGTGGAGAAAAGCAGTTGCAACCTGTTCAGCTGGAAGGAACTAAAAATATTGCTCCAAATTCTTGGTGTGTAAACCTGGGACAAATAAACAGAGCACTTTGAAAAACTAAGGAAAACTTTAGGACTATTAGTTTCCTTGAAAGCCTTTCAAAACAAACCGACCCGAAAACAACACCCGGGGGGTGATCGGGAAATATCTGCCAGGCTGCAATCATGCACCAGGAAAAGCAGCACGTCCATCTCCTCCCGCAGTCCCGGCGCGGGCTGGCGCTCCAGGCGTCTGCAGCGCAGGGAAGCTTCTGGCCAGAAGGGTTCCAAGTTCTGCAGAAATTTCCCTCCATTCTTGCTCCCCACCCGCTTCTATTAAGTAGTATTTTTATTTAACACGAGGAAAAATGATTCTAGGCTAGATGCAGAATTTAAATCCCAAACTCCTGCCTTTATAATGTTAAAAAATAAAAGATCACCCGCCCATACCCTTTGCGTTCCCTTTAGAGAAGGTCTTATTTCCTGATGCGGCAGGAGCGGGGGGGCACGCAGCAGGCGCGCACGGGGGCCGGGCCCGGGCCTCGCAGAAGACAGGCGCCCCTGCCCCGCGGGCTGTAGCTCTGCGGCCCCGGGGAGAGAGCGGGGCTGGGAGCCCGCGGAGTCCCCAGGCCTGGGGGGGGGGGGGGGGGCTCTGGCCGCTGTGGACCCCGCGCATCCTTTGCCTGTATGCGTCCAGTGCACCTGCCGTGCGCCGCGATCCACGAGGCGGCTGCGGGACCAGCGTGCCGTGACCGGACTGCCAGGGCCCCCTCCGATGCGCGGCTGGGGGCTTCCCGGAGATGCTGGCCACGTTTTCCCACGTTTTCGGTCTCTAGCTTGCGAAGCACTGGAGATTTTCGCACAACTAACGCAGCCGACGCTGGGCTGCCCCAAGTTCCTCGGGGCAAGTTCTGTTCCGCAGGGTCCAGCCCGGCCCAGGGGCGCGCCTCGCGCGGCACCCCCGTGCCCCTGCAGGTGAGCCCCTTCCTGCGAGTCCTTGAAACCCCAGATCTCCGCAGCGCGTCCCCGGAGAGGAAACCGGGCCTCGGCCCTCTCCACCCGGGGGATTCCGTTCGCGCCCGCGGGGCCCAGGGAGGCGAGGGGCGCGCGCCGAGGGCCGGGCCGGCCG